TATGCATATGTGTATGTATATGTATACATGTGTATGTGTATATATGTGTGACCTGTAATTCCTGAGTATTTGGTGACCTACATGGAAACCAGCAGCCACAGACACAAGCACTGACACGATGATGAATCACATCTGGAGACATTTGACAAGTTTTGTTCTCGTCCTCCGACCTGATTCGTTTTGATTCGACACCAGCGGATCTCCTCAGAGACACATGTGGTGTCGGCCGAGGCCGGAACACGATGGAGGAGCTCGAGGTCGTGGAGGAAGGAAAAGACGCAGTGAAAAATAAAGGAAGGAAGTGGGTGGGTGGAGCTACTGGGGACAAAGGTAACCAGTGACAAACTACCCTGGTGTCGCTGAGCGGCCGCAGCAGCCTCAGTTCCCCTGGTAACTTGTTAGCGGGATGTCAAAGTCCAGGCTAGGTCCCTGCGTGGATTATGAATTACCGAAGGGACTTCATACAGGAAACCAATTTGAATTTGCTTTACAGTGGCACATATGAAAAGAAGATTCAAACAGCTCCGTCCTGATGAATTAAACATGGCTGCTCGACGCCTCAGCCGAGCGGACTGAATTCCCAGGTTGATACAAATCCAGGCCATCGGTTCCCTAAACTCCACGACAGAGAACAAAAGCTTGTGTCAGCAACACTTCGCCTGACGTCCAGTCGGAACGGGCGAGACGCCAAAACCCCCGACAGCTGGTCAGAGCTGTTTATTATTTGATGCTTGAAAATGGGGCGAGACTGACTTTCAACTGTCCCATCTGCCAACATGGAGGAGGCCACCGACAAAGAGGCATCAAGATAAATCGGAGGTGGAGCTGTAATGTCGTCCATCTTTATTTTTAGAATAAGGTCGTCGCCAGTTTGAAAAAGGTTTGTCATCAGTCTGGTGCCAAACACAGACCCCGTTTATCAGAATCAGCTCTGAGGTGTAATGTGGATTTCTCTCAGTTGTACTCTGACAAGAGATATTTTACTACTTTATATATTGCAGTATTGAAAGTAAGTCAGTATTTTGGAATTGTTGATTTACTTCAGTCAAATTCTGTGCAGCCATTATTTAAAGGCCTTTTTTAAATTCAACCCTTCAAAGAACAACTCTTTTCAGAAAGTTCCTCCAAATCTAAATGGAATTTATTATAAAAGTTATATTTTAAAGCTGAAAAGACTTCTCAGCTCCAGGCTGTTAAAAGCGAAGCGCCGTGTGACCCACCTGTCTGAGGATGAAGCTGGTGGACGTGGTGCTGCCGTCCGACCTCTTCAGTCGACTGCGTCTGGAGTAAGTTCCTCTGTTTGCCTGGTGACGTAAAAAAACCAGACACAGATTCACATCCTGTATCTCTGAACCCTGTTACTGTTGCAGCTTCGCCCCATTTATCCCTTATTGTCTTCATACACTTGCTCAAGGGCACCTTCCTTCCAGCAGCCCCCGTTCAACCCTGCGTCTCGGCCCCCGGCTGCCTCCCGTCCTCTGTGATGACCTGATTCTATGCACTTCATCAGGCTGTCGTGCGCCAACATAACTCATGACGTCTCGCAGGTAGTTTGTTTCCGTGCCTGACGAGTCCATTAGGAAACTTATCATCTGATGGGGAATGATGTGAAAAACCAGGAGGACGAATATGATAAATGACTTTTCTTTCTCTGTATCTGCAGCGTATCGTGCTCCTGAGCGACATCTGGGTGACGTTCAGGCTTTTAACCTTCCAAAGCACAAAACAAACAGACCGCTGCACCGTTTTGTTTTATTTCATTTATTTAAGGGATTTTTTATTTTCTCACTGTCAATTAACCTTCTGATAATATCACTTATTATATTCATTAAGTGTTGATTCAACTGTGACAGAGGCCCGTCACTGTTCAAACTACACATTAACTCCTGCACTGACTCTTGATGACATATTTCTCATATATTATATTATACTCATTATTATTATTCTATAAGTTTCACATAGCATTCTGCTCTTGTATTTTTAATATACATATACTGATAGTACTTCAGTACTTGCTTTATCCTTCTCCTCACTTTTCTAATTTTCATGTCCATTATCAGTGACCGATGTCAACGCCAATATCAGTAGATACTAAGAAAACAACTGTAAATGATTGAACCCGTGTAATAAAGAAATGTAATTGAGGCTTGAATTTGACATTTTATGACTGATAACTTTAATTAAAACACAAATAGGACCAAATATATAGAACTTAAGTTAAGAAAGTAAACATAGAAAATCCCATCTACTGTTTATTCTGTCACATAAAAGCCAAAACAACAAAAACAGTAAATCCCTTGTGTGTGTGTTAATATGACAATAAACCTGATTCTGATAAATAGTCCAGGACCCAGCCTCCAACATTGTGCTCAATGTTTAAAATCAATACAGGTCTGATTTATGGCTGTAAAGGTTTTGCATCAATATGGTGGCAGACATTGACCCTTCAGGTATCTGAGTTACTATATTTACCAACAGTGTCTCTTAGAGATCGACTGATGTCTCAGTCGGACGATAAAAACTGGCCGATAGGAACCTTTCACAGACACGAAATAAAAACTATGTCTATATCTACATTATTTAGTTGTATCTGTGTTTTCTTTTTAGTTATTTGTCTTTTGTTATTCTAAATGATGCATCTATCCATCTATCTATCTTTCTATTCATCCATCGATCTATCTATCTATCTATCTATCTATCTATCTATCTATCTATCTATCTTTCTATTTGCAGTAGAAGTGTCTGGGACTTTACTCCATCAGAATCTGTTTAATAATTAAACACATCATCTGAGGTTTTTTCAAATCAGCTCCTGAGGGTCTTTAGAGATGAAGAATTCAGCTCCGGTTAAAAACAGAGAGAGCAATCCATCAGGAAAAGAAGGAGAAGAGAGAGGACAGGAGAAGAGGAGTAGAAGAGAGGAGAGGAGAGGAGATGAGAGGAGGAGTAGAAGAGAGGAGAGGAGAGGAGAGGAGAGGAGAGGAGAGGAGAAGAGAGGAGAGGAGAGGAGAGGAGAGGTTTGGAGTTTGTGTTTTCTCCTCCTACCTGGAACACAGGCTTCTGCAGTCCCTCTCCTATCCCGTGTCGGGTGTAGATGTGCCGGGACATGTCCGCCAGCTCGTCGGTCCAGGGCGGAGGCTGCCGCTCGGCCCCGCTCCACTGGAAGTGCTGCTGCTCGGGCAGCGGACAGGGAACCACCGCCGGCTCCAGCTCAGCTCCGGGTCACCGCAGCAGAGGATGGAGGGAGAGGGAGAGAGGGGGAGAGAGAGAGAGAGAGAGAGAGCAGGAGAAAAGATGGATCCGGCTGCTGGAGATGTGTCCTGCTCGTGTCTCTGCAGCAGATGAGGATGGAGACTGTGTTTGCTTCTGATCGGATCCTCTGCTGCCCCTCCTCCTCCATCCTCTTCCTCCTCCTCTTCCATCCTCTTCGTTCTTCCTCAACCCTCCTCCTCATCCTCTTCCTCCTCCTCCTCCTCCACCCTCCTCCACCCACTCCATCACACATCACACAGGACTGAGGTTCGTCCAAGGACAACAACCAAACTGCAGGAAATCAGCTTTGTAATAAATACACAAAAAATCTGATCAAAAGAATGAACAACTCAAAACAAACCAGCAAAAAACTGCAATAATAATAACAATAGTAGTAATAATAATAATAATAATAACAATAATACAATAATAAATACTATGATAGAGTACTTGCAATAATAATAATAGTAATATTAATAATGATATAATAGTAATGTACATTTATTGATGTCACCTTTCACAATTAAAGCATATAACAAATAGACCTAATGGTTTTAACTCACTCCAGTTTTTATATTTTCTAGAGTGTCTGGTTTTTGTTTTCATTCCAGATTCCCATGTTGTTTCAGTTAATAGCCAGTATCATGCTCCATCTCTATCAACAGGATACTTTGCAGTAGTTTCTACTGATTAATCAAACATCTGTTCTCGGTTTCCTGACTAACATTTTTCAGTAGGTGTTTGATATCGGGAGCTGAACTTTACGAGGAGCATTGAAGGCAGCAGTATCAGCACATAGTTAATTATCTTAATGGTGTTAAAGACAAAACAAACCTCATCAAACAATCAACACTGTTCCTCTGCAATAAAAGTGAACTTATAATGCTTATAATAAAATCAAACATGTTTCATTAGGATAATTATGAACCTTTAAGTGTCTTGACTAAAAATAATGTTTAAATAGAAATATAAAGAACATATTTCTAGTACACTTTGAAGATTTGTAGATTCAGCGCAGTATTCTTCTACTTTCAAAATAAAATGGCCCAATTTTATATCAGTAAACTCACCAGGACCAACAACAGATGATAAAATCTCCTCGACACTACCAGGTGGGTTTTCAGACGAACTTGCAGCAGGACACTGAGCGTAACCTGGAAAACAGCCTGCGGTGCCTGGAACATTTAATCAAATAGAACAGCTTATACCTGCATGTTTCCATCAGAATAACCCTGGCATCCAAAGACCCCCAGTGCAAGAAGAAACTATGATAACTGTCATATCCAAGCACTCGGAGCTGGTGACGTGTGCAGGGAATAGAACAGGATAATTAACGACAGTTTCTATTTTTATCTTAATTGAGTAATTGTAATTAGACACATGTAGGAAACGGGAATGGCCCTGTGGAGCGCATACACATTCAATTTCAAGTTTCAAATTCAATCAATCTGCACCTAATTACACACTCAGAATATCACTCTGCTGAATGTGCTTGGTTTTTTTCATCACGACCCATGAATTATTTGGTGGGAAATGGGTAAAAAAATGTTAAAACAGTAATGAGATGGATAAAAGTCCCGGATCAGCACCGACATTTAATGAATCCTTCCACCGAGTTCCACGGAAATCAGTTCTGTACATTTTTCGTAATCCTGCTGACAAACAAACAAACAAACAAACAAACCGGCAGACGGACGTGAGTGAAAACATAACCTCACCTGCAGAGCTAAAAGAAAAACACATCGCACTCCACGACACGTCATTTTTTTATTTCAAAGAATATTTATATGTTTGCTCTGTTACAAAAGCAGTTTTTTTAAAATCCTGGATAAAGAAACTTCTCCTGGGATATTTTAAATATACAGAATTATACATATCAAGCAGATTCTGAGACTAGAATTACTCGCCAAAGTTCTATCTGTGTCATTCCTTTGATTCTCTACAGAAAAAACAAGGCATCCAGTGGTAAATAAATGTTTACAAAGCTAAGGTGCGATGTCAATGTCACTGACAAACCCAGGTATTTTACATCTAATATACAGAGCCTGTAATACGAGGCGCACAAAGGAAACAGAAAGTTCTGGATAACAAATCATAACTACGGAGCGACTGCAACAGAACTGGAGATTCTATGAGAGCTGCTCCAGAAACTGAACTCAACAGTTTTTTGTTTTTTTTGATGAAACAACCGAAGTTAAAAACATGACGTCTCACTTCTTTTTCTTCATATTAACAACAACAACAAACATTTTGTTCCGTTTGCATTTTTGCCCGGACATAAAAAGAAGGAACATTCTGAAATCGTGTAAATCACACATGAACAATGCCTCAATATATATATCTATATAAATCAATGTGGGGGGATGGGGTGGGGGTGGGCAATGTCGTTGACCATTTAGAAATCCAAGTCGACAGCTTCTGCTCAAAGGGGAGAGAGCCCAGAAGGGTAGTGACAACAATCATGAACACATTTTATCAGATTAATAAACACACAGAGATCAACCACCTGCTTCTTAGTTCAACCTAAAATCTGACCTTGGAAAAAATCTGTCGTTTTACGAGAGAAAGCCCTCGGACACGTACAAACATGCAAAAGACGTAGATGTACACTCAAAAAAAATATCTCAGATGGATTACAAGGCAGCGAGCTGATGGGAAAGCAACGTTTGAACCCTTCAGACAAATATAACTGTTAACATAACAGATCTGTGCTGGTGACGAGGCGACATGAAGCACCAGGCTTTTTTAATAACTGCACCCTGCGAGCGCCTTCGTCCCACAGATACCGCTGAACGCTGACACGGCAGGAAGACGAGCTCTCGCGTCACGATCCCGGAGTGTTTCGATCAGTCAGCGCGAACAGCACGAGAGGACAAAGGGATCGTCAGGACGAGCCGTACCTGCCTGTACGTTTAAAAACAAGACGGTGATTTAAAACTTATAGAGAAGCAAAACATTTAGGGGGCGTGTTCACATGGAGGAAAACGCCATCCGGGTGTCCAATGGCGTTCGCTGGGATACGATGCATGTGGGTGAGCACTGATGGGTATTCAGTGTGTGGCGCTTCCAGTTGTATTGACTTCGCAAAAACTGTGTTTCTCTCTGCCTGCACGCCGTCTCTACGAGACACGTTTCAGACGCGTTTGTCCGTCACTTGTCTCGTAAGACGGAGGACATGTGACAGAACAGATGTGCATCAGTTTTGATCAATACAGCTGTCCACACCACCCACGTGTGAGGGTCACTTTCAGAGCTGGAACTTGAGATATATATATATATTTGATCTCTTGTGTATTGTACTCCCTCTCGTCCGCGTCACTACATTGATCTCTCATGAGGCGATAAGCGCTGCAGAAAGAAGTCGGGAAAACATCAGAATTGGCGGAGAGGTCTGCAGCGAGAAACATTAGCATATGTTTACATTTAATTACATTAGTGTGGACGTGGCCCGGACCCTCTGTTACAGCTGACGAAGGTGACATGCTGCATGGACTCAGGAATAGTATCGTGAGGGAGAAGCTTTGTTTCGTGTTTAACTGTGGATTGTGAAATGCTCAATTCCATAAAGTGAGATAACGTCTCTCCAACTGCACTGATGAGCAGCGCCAACTCTTCTTCTGTGTCGACCTGTGATGTTCGTGAAAACCAGTGTCGCTATCAGTCAACCAGGAAAAAGAAGTAGAAGAAGAAGAAACTCCTGGCGACACATTTAGCCTCATATACAGCAGCCGAGCGCCGACTCAGTTACAAAACAGACCTGCATCACACACCTCAGTTACTTCAACCTTCCCAGAGTGTGTTCGCTGCAGCTCGACAGGAATGATCCTAAAGCAGTTATCACACACACACACACACACATGTACAAACACACACTGTAAACCGAGTGAACACACGGCCAGCAGCTGAAACATCTGAGGTGGGAATGAATCTCAGGTCTGCCGTCACCGGAGTTTTACAGCAGAGGCTGTTGATAATATGTCTGCTGGGGAGGAGGGGGAGCCTGGTGAAGAGGAGGAGCCACAGGATAGGACACGGGAGGCATGCCCGAGTTGTGATAGGTCGATATGTCCATGGCCACGCCCCCCTGAGGTGGGTAAGAAGCTCCCGCAGCTTGGTTCATGTACTGAGTGTTCATGCCACTGCTGCGAAGAAAATACAGAGTTGACACCTCGCCGCAAATGAAAATATTCAACCAGAAAAGTGACGTCTTTTTGTTTTCTTACCTCATGTAGGGAGGCTGAGCAACTTGGCAGTTGGGCGGAGCTGAGACATTGGGGGGCAGTGAATGCAGAGGTGTGGGCTGGTCGCTGTGGAGATTGTAAGGCTGTGCGGCAGGAACCTGGGGCATCGCTGGAGGCAGGTAGGGGGCGCCGGTTGGTCCGAGGTAGCCCTGAGCAAACAAGAGGGAACATCGGAGATTAGAGGGTCTGACAATTACCGACATAAGAGGAGATGTATATTCTGGATATATACAAGTAGAACACTACATCACAGCCCAAGAAAACTGCAGTAAATTCACAGAGAAATAATAAAAAACATTTTGTCAAAACAAGTTCATGTGATCTTCCTCTATTAAAAACACTGTTTATTAGAGGAGTTCTAACACGGTTACAGAGAGTCAGGTGGTTTTTCTGTGTTAGTTTTCATGCATTCAAAAGATGCACGAAGAGCACAACAGCTGCTTCGGGAGTTTATATAAATAGAACCAGGTTTCATCTCAGTAATTTAAAGTGCAACAGAATCTGAGTCAGCGCAGGTGAGAGAACAATCCGGTTTTAGTTTGCTCTGCAGAAATAAAAGAAGAAGAAGGGGGGAGAAAAATGAGCAGCACTCTGTTTGTGTGTCTGTCCAGTGAAGTGGACACTTTTCTAAATCTCGGGGGAGAGACAGTGACATCAATCACTACAGAAAACAGCCCCTGCCAAGACAAGCCAGGCAGCCTGCCACTCTCCAGGGAGGAGGCACAGAAGAGGCTGACTGAACGTCACACTATCGGAGCCAGGGATGTAAAATCAACCATGTCACAGGACAAACACTGAGAACATGTGAGTGAAGTACTGCTGTTCTGCATCATCGTCCTGTTATCACCACGAAAACAAAAGTTCACAGAGACCAACAGGAACAATCTACAACAGTGGGAGTCTGCACAGTGCTGACGCTCAATGATACAAGTTACATGTGCATAATTAATGCATTCATTTCCAAACAAACATCTCTTTAACACAGGAAATGTACGACTCTCAATGTTCTAAAACTGAATCAACACGTTAATTATGTACGACTTCCCTGCTGCTTTCTATTGATTCAGCTCGCTTCACTGGACTGAGAGAGAGAGAGAGAGAGAGAGAGAGAGAGAGAGAGAGAGAGAGAGAGAGAGCACAGCAACAAGGATCCTGAACGATTTGTTTTGTTGACCAAGCACAACTGAAGTCGATTATTAGGCCTCAATTCACCATCATGTGCAAGAGCGACGTGTCATTTAGACTGACGACATCATTTCCTACAGTTTCAATATGATTAATATGATGTTAAAGTGGAATTTAAAGGCTTTTCACTGACCTGCATGGCCACAGCTGAGCCGGATGGTGCGTACTGCGGCTGCATCTTGGAGTAGGTTGAGTAGAACGGAGCCTCGTTCATGAGCTTGTTGTAAAGTTCCAGAGCCTCCAGAACTTTCACGTTCAACTCTGACAATTCTGAGTGTTTCCTGTAATACAGAGCAACAGAGACGTTCATCATTTCACATGAACGCACATCTGCTCTGCATCGTTTATTCTGTGAAACGAGAGTTTTGATTTGAGAAGTCGATGTTATCGATAAATTGGTCGGGCTTTCTTCACTGTACCTGTCAATCTCCTCCAGCTGCTCATCAATCATCGGGTTCATCTGTTCACACGCTCCTGTTCAATCAGATATTTGAAGTTAGAGAAGGAGAGTTAGAAAACGACAGCGTGGATCAGACTCTCTGCAGTCGTCACTGGCACAGACACCAGATTTACACAAGTATTAAGGTTTATACCCTCCAGCTGGATGAGCTCCAGGGTGTCAGGAGCCAGATCTGCAGGATCTGCATTCTGCAGCAGTGCCAGCGTTCTGTCCATCTTCCCCTGCAGAGCGAAGAGAGCGGGTTCTGGTTAGCAGAGTGAAACAGATTGTAAATGTACGTCCACTGAGGGAATGTAGTACCTCATCTATGAAGACAGGCTCAGGCTCAACTTTGGTTTCCTGGATCGTCTCTTCAGGGCTGGCAGTTTTTTCAACATAAGCCACTGCAGAGAAAAAAGATCAGGTTTGATTAACGTTCTTATATTAATAAT